TTGTTTATTTGTTATTTTTTTTCTAGTTGTTTTTAATAATGTTTATATAATGCGTCAGTTTGATAAAAGAGTGTTGTTGCTAGTAATTACTTGACAGAAAGAAAGGAAAAAAAAAAATAATAATAATAACTTAAACAGTCAAGGTGATTTAAAAGCGGAAAGGAATTTACGCATGATCAGTTTCAATTGGAAACATTTGCAATTTTAAAGATGGCTACCGTCTTTAGATGCAAATGATGACTTTTTTTTTTTTTTTTTTTTAATTAACAACAATAAATTTAGCTCTACACGTAAAAGTCAAAATCTATTATTTTTAATAGAATGAAATTATTATAAAAATTAGAGAAGTGTTAATAAGAAAATAAGATAAACATTGTTTAGTCAAAATTATGATTCTCTGCTTTAATTCATTTCATTGCTAAAAGCTTAATTTGTTTCGATTTTCAAAACTCTTTTTTTTTTATTTATAGGTATGATATGCTTGATATTTTCTATAAATATATAAACTTGATAGTCTGTAAACTTTGATAGGCTTTCAAAAACACTACGTTATGACGTTTTAAGCAATACACTAAGGTTATGACTTTTTAAGCAATGCATTTTGTATATATGGGTTTGTTGAAGAAACTGTGGTGAAAATTATGTCTTATCTTAGTTTAAATTGCCATTACCCTGTCAATTTTTATCGAAATACAAACAACTCGTTATCAAAAGATAAGTGTCAAAAATTTGAGTTGACCTCTAACCCTCGGACGTATTCAGGGTAATAGAGGGACACCAAACCACGACCGTTGCAGTTAGAAATTGAAATCGTTTTTCAGAAAAGAGTAATTTTTTTTCAAGACATAAGTAATTTTTATAAGCAAAAAAAGTTGTTATAATTTTGTATCTTCAAGTGTAGTCAAATTACTTTCTCAAATTTTGTCAATAAAATGTATTGCAATAGCATACTGTATATATACAAACGTAGATATGTCAAAAACATGCTTGTCCATAGCAAACTGTCAATAGCATGCTATTGACAGTATAATAAAGCTGTATAAAAATCAGTATGATTGTGCAGATGCATCGACGCAATCACACTGATTTTTATACAATTATATAGAATGATAAATCTTTTAACCGCAACTGTATGAGACTTTTATCTGGTTTTAATATATTTTTTTTATTAAATTAATTTCTTGATAAAATTTTTAGTTTACGTACCGCTGTAAAAATGTTGTTGTTTCATTTGTGGGTAACCGTCTAAAAAAATCTAAAACTTTTGTATAATTTTTTTTCAATACCTTTTTGTAATTTAGCTAAAAAGTAATTTGATGGTGGCGCCATTTATATTTTTCAACAAATAACTAATTAATAATTTTAATTAAATGTAGCATTTAATTAAAATTAGTATCCGGTTCTTATTAAGAAACTTTTACAGTAGATTTGACAAATTTTTTTCAGCATCAATGTCAAGCTTGAATATTTCCTTTGCAACAAGTGATAAGACTACTGTTGTCTTATTTTTTTTTTTTTTTGCCCCGGCCATGTAAATATTTATTTATGCATTTTGCTACTGTAGTAATATTTAAACGGCGAAATATATAAAAGAAAAAATAAATAAATAAAAAATACAATAATAGCAAAAGTTTACTGCAACGAATAGCTTGCATGTTTCATAATTTAATTAAGACCGAATGTCGCAAATAACAATTGAATACATTTTATAAAGTTTTTTATAAAATGCTCTGTTTTTCTTATT